AAGGAGGATTTTTATTTTAATGCCTCAATCACCAGCATCTCATTTAAAGGATAAGAAGAAGGGGCACCTGGATGGCGAAGTTGGTGAAGTGTCAGACTTCAGCTCAGGTCATGATCTCACAGTTCCTGAGTTCCAGCCCACGTCGGGCTCTGTGCTGTCAGTTCAGAGCCTAGAGCCCACTTAGAATTCTGTGTGTATGGGGTTCCTGGGTGGCTCAGTTGGTTGAGCGTCCGACTTCGGCTCAGGTCATAATCTCACAGCTCATGAGTTTGAGCCCTGTGTCGGGCTCTGTGCTGACAGCTCAGAGCCTGGAGCCTGTTTCAGATTCTGTGTCTCCCTCTCTCTCCGACCCTCCCCCATTCATGCTCTGCCTCTTTCTGTCTCAAAAATAAATACATAAATAGACGTTGAAAAGAATTCTGTTTGTGTGTGTCTCTCTCTGCCCCTCCCCCACTCACACTCTGCTCTCTCTCTCAAAAATAAACATTAAAAAAATTTTTTTAAAAAGGATAAGAAGAAGGTAGAATACTAGGAAGTATGATGGAGTTGATATTTTTTGGCTCAATTTTGTTACTGTTTCAGAAAGTTCCTGAATGGAGAGTATCTTGTCAGTGTTCTTTTAGAAACTTCCAAATACCAATTAAAATATGCATCTCACACAGGTTGTTTAGTTTAATGACACACAATCTCAACCTGGGTGTGCAAATAGACTAATTAGGTAGTTTAAAATATCCTCATTAGGCCTCTGAACATTCTAATACTCCTCAGTATAATCCTCTTAAAACATTTTTTCTGATTTCCTTCACTGAGGGTTTCTAGGTGCAACGTGAGGAATATTCCATCCCTTGAAACATTACCAAAGAGGTCTTTCTTTGAAAAATCCTTCATCTGAGGGGAGCCTGGGGAGCTTCAGTTGGTTGGGGTCTGACTTCAGCTCAGGTCATGATCTCACAGTTTGTGACTTCGAGCCCCATGTTGGGCTCTGTGCTGACAGCTCAGAGCCTGGAACCTGCCTCTGATTCTGTGTCTCCCTCTCTCTCTGCCCCTCCCCTGCTCATGCTCTGTCTCTCTCTGTCTCTCAAAAATAAAGAAATGTAAAAAAAAAAAAATTAAATCCTTTATTTGAGTGCTCCTTTGGTCTTTGCCATCAACAAAATAGAAAGCAGTAATTACTGGGGCAAAGGCTCAAAAGGGTCACCAAAAGCATAACCATGAGTACCCTGCCTATACCAGGTATCTTTCTCCAGCCTAGAAGGAAAGACTGCCACCCAGCTACTTATAGCCTGAAAAGCTGTTCTCCACCTGATCCTTAACCCAACGGCTTCAGTTCTCTACCTGTCCATGGAACTATTCAAACAAACCAATAGCATCCTCCTGTGGGAACCAGGAGGCACTTCATCTTCTTGGTGCTACAAAGTCTGCCTCTCACAGCCCTGATGACTCAGTCTGTTCCCAAATGCAACCCTCGTGTGGCCTTACATGAAATGCAGTGTGCTTTTCCCTCAGGCTGTGAGTATATGTAGTAAACTGCTATCAATCTCTTTCGTCCACATTGGGTGATAGGTAATCAGCTATCTCATGCTGAAGGAGGGGGACACCTCATGAAGAGATGAATAGGAGGTGTTCAGAAGACAGGCACATCAGAAAGGAAGAAATAAAACTATCTTTATGCTCATTTGATATGATAGTCCCCATAAAAATCTCATGGAGTTTTTCCTCCCCAGCACAAAAAACCCTTGTAGAACTAATGAGGGAGTTCATTAAGGTGACAGGATTCAAGAGCAATGCCACTTATAATCACTCAAAATAAGAAAAGAACAGAAACACTAATTTGGAACTCTAAGAGAACATGCACAAGACTCTAAACAGAAATGTTGATGAAAGAAATCAGAGATCTAAATAAATGAAGACTTACCATGTTCATCAGCTGAAAAACTGAACATAGTAAAGATGTCAATTAATTGATATGCCAGTTTAATGCAATTAATATCCAGATCTGAGCACAATTTTTAATAGCTGTAGACACAGTTATTCTAAAATGTATATGGGAAAGCAATGAAAATTAGGATAGATAAAACTAAATTTGATAAAGAAAAACAAAATTGAATGATCACTCCAGCCAAATTGAAGACTGTTCTGTACCTCTGGTAATCAAGACTAATGGGGGTTGTGGAAGGACAGGCACAGAGACTGATAGAACAGTAGAGAGAATCCAGAAATAGACCCACACCAACTTATTTTTAAAAATTTTTAAGTTTATTTTTTAATGTTTATTTGTTTATTTTGAGAGAGTGAGAGAGAGACAACATATGAAGGGGAGGGGCAGAGAAAGCAGAAGAGAATCCCAAGTAGGGATTCTCAAGCAGAGACCCCAGGGCTCAAACTCACGAAGATGAGATCATGGTTTGAGCAGAAATCAAGAGTCAGATGCTTACCCAACTGAACCACCCAGGCGTCCACCAACTCATTTTTGACAAGGTGCAATGCAACTCAGTGGAAGATGGGTTGTCTTTTCAAACAATGATGTTGGAACACATGGATATCCATAGGCAAAAACAAAGCAAACAAAATGGGAGAAAAAAAGGAGCGCCTGGGTGGCTCAGTCGGTTACATGTCTGAGTTTGGCTTAGGTCGCGATCTCACGATTCGTGGGTTTGAGCCCCACATCTGGCTCTGTGCTGACAGCTCAGAGCCTGGAGCCTGCTTGGGATTCTGTGTCTCCTTGTCTCTCTGCCCCTCCCCCGCTTGCACACTGTCTCTCTCTCTTTCTCTGTCACAAATATAAATAAGCATTAAGAAAAATGGGAGGGGAAAAAGAAAAGAATTAGACCAATTCTCACACTTTTTATAAAAATTCACTCAAAAGAAATTATAAAAGTCAAGTGTAAAATTAAAAAAAAAAAACGAGGAAATCTTTGGGACAAAATCTTTAGGCCTGGTGAAGAGTTCTTAGACATGACATCAATTGGGCCTTATCAAATTTAAAGACTTATTCTGAAAGATATCCTATTGAGAGACTGAAAAGGTTAGCTACAGACAAAGAGAAAACATTTGCACACCCAAAATATCACAAAGAGCATGTGTCTAGAATCTACAAAGAACTCTTAGGACTCCCCAGTACACACACACACACACACACACACACACACACACAGAGGAGACTACTCTAATTACAATATGGATGAAAGACATGAAGAGGCATTTATCAGAGAGAATATTCATATGGAAAATAAGCTCATTGAATGATGTTCAGCATCACTAGACAGGAGTGAAATGCAAATTGAGAATATGCTGAGATATCACTCTTTACCTACTGAAACAGTTAAAATATGAAATAGTGCCAATGCCAATCGATGACGAGAATGCAGAGAAACTGAAGTCTCCTGCACTGACAGGGGACGTGTACTGGTGCAGCCCCCTCTGGAGGATAGTTTGGCAGTTTCTTAAAAAATACACATACACTTACTTCCTAACCCAGGAATCACATTTCATGGCCTTTATGTCACATATGAAAACTCACATTCACACAAAACTGTTCACAAATGTTCACAGCTGCTGTATTTGCTCTAATCTCAAACTAGAAACCACCAAAAGGCCCTGCAGTAGGTGAACAGTTAAACAAACTGTGGTGCGTCCATATCATGGAATATTGTCAGCAATGAAAACGAGCAAACTGTGGAAATACCTGACAACCTGGATGGCTCTCAAGGGCATTATGCTCGCAAAAAAGGCCAGTCTTGGAAAGTCCCCTACTGAATGATTCCACCCATCTAACATCCTCAAAATGACAAGTTATAGAGACGGGGCACAGATTAGTGGTTGTCAGGTGTGGAGTGATGGGGTCTGAAGGGAAGTGGTTGTGAATATAGAGGGAAGCAAGAGGGAGATCCCTGTGGTACTGGAATAATTCTGTGCTTGCCGGTGGTGGGGGTCACACAGAAGCACACATGGGATGGAACATAGGCGTATGACTGAACATGCACATTTTACCAGTGTGGTTCCTGGTTTTCATATTATATATTTTTTAAGATATAATCCTTTTGGGAAACTAGGTAAAGAGGTACACAAGGTATTTCTATGCTGTCTTTTCAACATCCTGTGAAACTATAACTATTTCAAAATAAAAAGTTGCCAAAAGGTGGCCTTCTGGCTAAAATCGAGAACCCTCACAACATCAAGTGCTAGCCAGCCAGGGTGTGGTACAATAGGGAAGGCACCATGGTGAATGTTTACAAATCTAAACACGCTGTTACCTTCCAGTCCTGCAATCACACTCCCACGTATTTACTCAAAGAACTGAAAACATAGGTCCACACAAAAACTGATACAGGAATGATTAAAGCAGCTGTGTTCATAATGTGAAAGGTGGAAGTAACCAAGATGTCCTTCGATAGGCGAATGGATAACCTGTGCAACAGCCATAAAATGAAGCATTATTCAGCAATTTTTAAAAAGCTATTAAGCTTTGAAAAGACGTGGTGAAAACTTAAATGCATATTGCTAAGCGAATGAATTAGTCTAAGACTAAAAAAGCTCTTACTGTATGATTTCAACTCAGGACATCCTGGAAAAGGCAAAACTACAAAGATCCCTATAATATAAAGAGTGAACCCTAGGCGCCCGCCCCCACTGGCAGCTTGTCTGGGGAACCCTCCAGGAGGGGCCAGCTAGTGGTTGGAGTGGCACAGAGGCCAGCCATGTGACGGAAGCTTCCCCAAGCCAGGCTGGCTCCTCTCTCCCACCCCCCTACCTCCCCCCACTCCCATCCACTCCTGCCCCTGCACCTCCTGTCGCTGGCTGGGACTGTGACCAAGACAGAGGCACCCTCAAGTGGAAATAGGTCTGGGCCTGAAGTGCTAGGCCCAGAGCAGCATTTATTGGGGGACATCTGCTCTGAGACTCTTGAGTAGTTCAGTGTTCCGACTTCAGCCCAGCACTTTGAGCTGAATTTTCTAACAATCTTGGCCTCTAAGCCCGAAACGGAATTAGTCTCACGACAGCATTAAGGATGAAGATGAGTGGAAAGAATTTGAGCAAAAAGAGGTTGATTACAGTGGCCTCAGAGTTCAGGCAATGCCAATAAGTGAAAAGGAAGAAGATAACGAGAAAAGAGAAGATCCAGGTGATAACTGGGAAGAAGGTGGAGGTGGTGATGGTGGTGTAGAAGAATCTTCAGGTCCCTGGAGTAAAACCGCTCCAGTACAAGCACCTCCTGCTGCAATAATCATTACAGAAACCAGCGATGACCAGCGGTGTGTATACGCGGCCTGGAGCCAGGTTAACCACAACGAGGAAAACACTGCAAGGCCCACCAGAAATCTACAGTGCCACACAGTCCCTGGTCCCTGCAGTCCTCTGCCAAGCATGTAGGAAGCTGGGAAATACCGAGCCCTGGTAAGGGCTGACTGCCTCAGGGTTGCTGCCCTAGGCGCAGACTTCATGTGCATCACACCTTCTGAACGCGAAGGTTACATCTAGTTAAGTGTGGTTGTGGAGCTTGAAACCAGCTCTCCTGGATTCCTATCAGAAATCCTGCAGAAAGTCAGCCATCTGGGTTCTGATCTGCTGCAAAAGATGAAAATTTAAGTGACCTTAATGTTAACCTGTCCTGTGCCCCATCCTTAAGGCATACTCTGTAGTGGGCTGTGTTAGACTTCCTGGAATGGGAGCTCTCAAAAGAACTGTGTTCAATAATCTGTGTAAGGCTGTGATTTTATAATTTAAAGTGGGAGTTGTATTCTGAGGTAACCACAAGTTAGAGTCAACCGTACTTGGGTCTATCAAGTGGGAGAGGGGGTAGGAGGGGTGTGATCTCATTTCTTTTAGTGATTTTTTTATTTGGGTAGTGTTTTTCTGTTCCGCTAATGTGGAACAGACCCTTTTTTTTTTTTTGACTTGGAATAAGTTCTTTGACAGAGCATATTGCTTGGTTGAATAAGTAACCTGAAATATGCATTAGGATTGTGACACATCTCATGAATTTTCCAGTCCCTAGAGTGGAACAAAATAGCCTTTGATGTAAAGGGCAGTGGATGCAGGGGGGCTCTACTTCAGGTGCTGCCAAAGCCTCCTCTAATCAGGTCTACATTGTACAGTAAACTGCAGTGGAAAGAGTGTGGGTTCTGCTCAGGCCACGTGATTTGCTGACCTGTCCTTATAAATTCAGAGCAACATGAACAGAACCTTAACCTAAAACCCACTTAGGTTTTCACAGGTCTTACATGATCTTTGAAAAGATTACCAGACATGCTTGTGCCCAAATTTTTAAGGTATTGGACATTCTGCAGATGCAATGACCGTGCCAGCTTAGCTCTGTTCTCAACCTTCTGGTATGTCTATGTTCATTTGAAGAGTCCAGGGTGAGAGAGACAGGTGACATAGCCCTTCTGTTTTTAAAAATTACAGCTTAAACTATCCAGTAATTTTTAGTCCTTAAAGGGACTTCAGGAAGCTATCCAGGATTACTGAAAAGCTTTTCCATCTAATGAGATAGTTTGGTAATTTACTAGCTTTTTATCTTTGGGTCAATAGAAATATTGCAAAGTGATGCATGACCGCTCGGTGCAGAGTCTGGGTTTCTCTATAATAAATCCCTTTGCCAAATGCAAGAGTTGCAGACTTCCTACTGGCCAGAGTGAAGCAAATGAGGGAGTAAAACTGTTCTTGTGGGGGGGGGGGGGGAACCCCTATGGGAGTTCAGTCTTGATGACAGTGTCAGTGCAGGAATCAGCTCCTGGGAGTTGACAGGATCTCCTGACAGGACCTCCCCACCACACCTGAGCCATAACGGTGTGGTCGGAGGTGGCAGGCAGGATGCCTGGTCTCTGGTGTATTGGGGTGAGTAGCTGAACCAGCCAAGGAGAGGTTGGATGATTAATCAAGAAACAAGAGATTCTTGGTCAAACTGAAGACTTCATGTGGGAACCAAAATTCTTAAATAAACTCTTGGACCTTGAGCTACATATTTCCCCTGAAAAGTATACATTTTTTTTTCCAGCAAAATTTTGTTTAGGGGTTATGTTATTGAGGAATAAACTGAGATGAATGTGTGGAACTTTTATTTAGTGGCATACTATACTAGAAATCTGAAGGCCTGCGGGAGATAAAAAATTCCAACTCTTGTTATAACTTTTCGAAAGATTGTGAAATTATAAAAAATGCACATGAATCAAGTTTCAATATACTGTATGCTGGGTAGCTGAGGCAGTCCACTGTATCATCTCTTTCTTTGAATTCTCAGGCATGGTTTGGCAGTGCAAGGACTCTGTAACATTAACAAATTCAATAAGAAGTAAATATATGCAAAAAAATACAAAGAGTGAACCCTAATCTAAACTATGGACATCAGGGAATAGTAATGTATCAGTGTTGGTTCATCAATTGTAACAAATGCAACACACTAATGAAAATGTTAATAAAGGGTGAAACTATTTGTGAAGCAGGAGGAAGATGCAAATTCTGAACTTTGTACTTTCTGCCCAATTTTTCTGTAAACTTAAAACTACGCTTCAAAGGTAAAGTATGGAAGTATATGGAAGTATAGAGATGTTTTCTTTTTTATTCCACATGTGTCTAAGTTTTACTCTATTCCTATTGTACCTGTATTTATAGTAAAAAAATTGAGCTATGTAAAAGAAATACCTATGCTTATTTTCAAATTTCTGAAGATGTGGCTTTCATTATTTAAGCCATAGGTACAGAAACTTGATAGTTTTTAGTAAGTCCTATAAAGTGATAAAAGAGAAACTGAGGCATAAGATAATTTTCAAGAGTTGTTTTTTGTTTTTTGAGAATTATTGAGAATTATTTTTTATTTTTTATTTTTATTGAGAATTATTCAAATCTGGCAGTGCCAACCCCAAAATGGTGCAAGTTCTCTGACAGGAGCTTAGGGGAAAGGATTTGATAGAATAGATGCAGAAACAGAGCACAGAAATTACCTGAGTGGCTATACCTTATTCATTGGCCTGACTTGGAAAATCCCAGTTGGCTATTGGTGAATTTTGCTGGGGTATGAGTGCACTTAAAGGAACTGACTCTGGCTTAGGTTTCAGTTTGCTCATGTAAGTTACCAAGATGTTGGAGCCATCTCTGTCTAATAGCCTCCTAGTAAAATTACTCCAACAATTCCCCCATTTTGGTCATCCTTGCACACATGAGAGGTGGACTAAATTTCGTATTAGTGCCTCTCTGTCACCATCAGGGTTAAGTTGTTCTTGTTTCCCTGTGAAACTCTTAGGTTATCAGATCAGGTTCGTGGAAGGTGTTTGCACCTCACCGTTCATGCCATTTCTGCTTCTCCAAGTGCAGTGAGACCATTTGATGTACTGCTGGTGATTATAAACATGTGTTTAAGCCCCTTGAGAGAATGTAGCTTCATGATGACTATCAGGAGAATACCAAGGGACTGAAGTATGTCTCTTAGTCGGGACCCCCAGGTACCAAACCAGTTGGTATCAATGTGTTTTAGCCAAGAAGCTTGTTTTTTTTTCCCGTACTTGAGTTTCTGTAACATTAGAGGCATTGATCCAGGAGCAGCAGGAGGTATTTGCTATGGCACAGCCTCCTTCTTCAGCTAATAAGCAATCTAAAGCAATTATATTACCCAAGACCACCTTATCAGTTCAAAACTATCCTTATGGCTAAGTGGTATATTTTGGGGTGATCTATTTGGCTACCCATCAAAGTCATCTTGCTTTGGTTTTTCTGAGATTTTTATCATCGGGCTGTAGAAATTCTGAGAAAAAATAATAGAATTGATCACTTTTGCAACATTATTACCACTAAGTGTGGTACCTCATTACTCTTCTTGCAGTTTTCCTTTAATTTTTACAATAACTCAGTATGATAAAAAATTCCCACCAGTGTATTCATGAAAGGAATCAGGTAAGTTGAATTAAGTAAGGTATCAGTGAATACACAGCTAGTGAATGTATAGCAAGATAAACCCCAAGTTGACATCAATGCAACATCCCTTATTTGCCACTCTAACAAACTGTCAGGATAATTAATCTTTATGGTTTTGGGTAGGCTCTGCTAGCCATTTAGAAATAAAGATCAAGTAATAGTTTCACAGATAAATGAGCAATATCCCCCTGTGTCTTAAATATTTTTTCCTTCCATTTTAATGTCATGTTCTGCCCAAACTCCCACTTTTTACTTGCTTTTTCTACTCAGGGATACATATCCAATCCAAGACTATTCTAGGAATAAGTCAGACCATTCTCCTGGAAATGAAATAGGCATCCAAGACTATGTCAATAAAATGGGTAATGTTGATCCACAATGTTCGATCCTATTTTTTATTAAACCTGGACGGGATGTAATTGATATGTAATACTGTAAAGTATATGAATCCTCCTCTATTGTCTCCCCACTCCACTCCCATCTGCTCCTCCTCATCAGTCTCACCTATTATCTAACGCTGAACCCTAGGCTTCCACATTCATCCTACCAGAGATCCAGATATGTTATTAACTTAGGGACTCAAGAACCAAAATCAGATTCTGAAACCATTGCTAAGTAGAGATCTCCCAACAAACTCTACTCCAGGGTTTTCCTAGGGGGACTGGACCACAGCAATTGGATTGCTTATGGATGCTACAAGTGAGGCATGGTCCTAATGAACCTAGATATTCTGATTACTTACAGAACTTATCACACACATTCAACATTAACACATTTCAGGAAGAAAGAATCACATATATTTCCTAGTCCCTATGAAGAACTGGTTTAGACACCAAAACTTCATCTCAGACTCATCAAAAGTTTATTGTGCTCAAAAAATCACAATTACAGTTTGAAGAAACCCAAGCAATAAATGTAGAAATGATGTCTATATTGAACATTCAAAAGGTTCCATAATAGAGAAAGGATCTTCTAGGGTCTATTCCAGAGGCATTACATGGTGATATTAAAATGAAGATAGAAAATGGAGGAAAACATACCCAAGAAGGAGCAACAATCAGGGAATAACTAGATGTCAGAGTCTGGACAGATCAGGAAGGCATCATTATTCTTAGAATAGCTAAAGGGCTGGAAATGCTGGAGAAAAGTTGTCTTCTGTGAGGTGCACAATTGGAGTATTGCTGGGCTCATGAAGCTATTAAAGCACAAATTTCTTCATTGATCTTCTCTGTAGGAAAT